GTTTTTTTTCAGAAAGTAAAGCCAACAAGTAGCCAGCTAGATTTCAGCAAACACAAACATTCTGAGAACATGGAGCAGGCTAGCTTCCTTCAAGTTGTGGACAGGTGAGTGAACAGCACATTATAGTGACACTGTGGATGAGAGTCTCAAAGAGCTTCCTAAGTCCTGGCAGGATATAATCAGATGTTCTGCCACTAAAAAGCCTATAGGAGTTGATTTTGAGGGAGGGATACAATTTTTAGCTCTTTGCATTAACCTGCTCCTCCAGGGAAGATTTTTTCTAATCCTATGTGTAGCCATGTGTGTTTTCAACTAAGCTTGCTTTATATTTAATGTTTACCATGATAGTATCTCTCATAAGCAACTTTTAACTTTCCCACACTCAGGCAGATGAAGACTTTGACAGAGCCCCCTGATGGGCATCCTAAAAAGATAGATGTTTCCCCTGTTGCACTGGACCTACAGAACTCATACCATGCTTTAAATGAACCAGAGCACACCCCACTTGTCTGCTCAAGTCAGACTGGCGGTCATACCTCTCCTATTTCAAGGAGAAACAGTGCTGATGCAAGTATTGCTTCCCAGACAGCAACCTCTTGCTTTGCTTTCAATGGTCCGTACTTGTACAGCCCAGTGGTGTCCTCCCAACTTGATATGCACCAGACCCTGCAAGTGGACCCGGTGGGAGTCCGTGAGAAGTCAATTTCCCTGCAGTATGTGACCCTCCCAAAGGAAGACTGTCCCCAGGCTCCACAGAGGCAAGAACAGCCAGGAGCGGGTCCTCCACAGCCCTTCCTGCTCCCAGATCAGAAGGAAGTTACACAGCACCTCGATAAGGAGGAAGAAGTCTCACGAGCCCCACCATGCTGTGAAAAAGACAAGAACATGAGAACAGAAGAGCAGAAATCTCCAAAGGCTCTTAGCTGTGTTATGTCTCCTCAGAAGTGCCCCTTGGAGTACGTTACCACAGAGAGCTTGTCCTTGCCATCAGCCAGTGAGTCCACCCATCCTCCACCTGTTACTGCTGGCGAGTTACCTTGTGACTCACAGAAGCCTCATCCCCATGGTGATCACCCTCGCCATGAATTTTCTCCTGGGACAACTGGTATCACGGTCCAAGCTTCAGGTCAAGCACCAACCTCTTCTCCTGAATTGCATCTGGATACATTTGGAGACTATCTCACAGTCCCCACGGATCTCAGTGGGCATCCAGAACCTGCAAAGATTTCTTTGCCTCTCCTACAGAAGGGCAACGATCTTCCTAGGAAGCAGCCTTTGTCAGAGGGTGACTTGGTGGTGTTAAACCCTGACAGCACTGAGCCAGTTTTCCTTTGCCAGGTTGGTGACTATTGTTTCCACAGCCTAAAATCCAGTGTGAAGATGGATATTAATCAGGAGGACCACCAAATTAAGAAACCTTCTGAAGGCAAGACAACATCTGGGGAGCCTGTGTCTAAGGAAGTACCATCCATCACTGGCAAGGAAAAGGATGTATCAAATATGCAAGCTATTCAGCTTTTCAAAAACCTGAAATCAGATGATTACTTTTCCTGGCAGCAATCACTGAGGATCACGGAAATCTGTTAAATGAGCAAATATTAAGGAG